TGTATCTTTTCCTGAATGTGTACAAGTGCTTATGTCTAAATAAGATTATTTCCTAAAATTCATTAAACAATTGGAAGTAGTTTTGCTGATCATTATATGATGTTTTGTTAGTGCAGTATTCAATTATATATTGGTGTTTAGTAAAACGTCCCTAGAGCCAGTGAGGAAATCTTCAGGCTCAAAATAAATCTGTAATTTCTGTAATTCTTTTTTTTTTTTTAAAAAGGTGCATTTCCATTGATATATCCTCTTCCCTTGCCTGAGTCCCATCTAATTATCTGCCTCCACAGAGTGAAATTAAAAATAAATGAATTATTCAATGAAGGCACTTGTTCCATAGTTCAAGCTTTCAAATGTCAAAGTAGAGAAGCTTTTTTTTTTCCTCTCTGAGGGATCTAATAGTCTATGAGTGAGTTTTTGGTAATTGTGCTATTTTTTGTGCTTATCATATTCTCTGTAATTGAACCAGATGTTAAGTCTTCTCTGGAGAAGAGTCTACTCAGTTTACGTAGTACTGTATCAGTCTTGCATCCCAAAAGATTTGAAGTTAATGTGAAAATGAAATAGTAAGGCAGATGCTATATGTAACGTTCCTGTAGGTGGGTAATCTCTTTTGGACTGAAACACTTAAAAATATGTAACTCAGAGGCACATACTACAAGTAGCAAATGGTTGGATGATAAATTGTTGTAGAATTTTTTTGACAGTCAGTCAAAATCCAACACTTTGTATGCAATGGGTTATTTTCTATTGCAGTAGTTCTGCAATGATGAAAATGGTTCATGAGTTCGAGACTAAGGGCTGTAGAAGTAGACTGCACCTTTTGTGGGTGACTTACATAAATGTTTTGGAGGGGAAAACCCTGAGTATGTTTCAGCTACTCAGCTGAGCTGGTTTCTCACCATTATGTATTGATATGTCAGTAAAGAACACATATAAGCTTTACTTTTATGTTAGGATGAGGTACTGGGGGGAAACAGAGGCAGGTGTGCCTGAGTCTTTTCTCACATCTTGGTTTCCACCAGAAAGAAGCCTTTCTACGTGTGTTGGAAGGAACCATAATGTTCTGAAGTCATGCTTTCCATTTCTAAGGCTCTTGCATGTACCGAAAGACTACTAGTCCTCTTACAGGCACACATGGAACTAACACTTCACACTATCCATGGAGTGTTGCTGCCATTTATGTACATAAAAACACAGGATATGCAAATAGCAAATGTGTATTTCCAGAATACCATGTCTCCTGTGATGTATGGTTCTGTAATTTGCTTACACAGAAATTAATAACCCTTGATAATTTTTTTTCTTTTATGGATTAGAACCCAACCTTACTTAGTTAGTTGTTTAAACTCCTAAACCAATTTTTGCTGAATTCATTATGCATTTTATAGCATCAATTTAATATTTTGGTCTAGCTGTTTGTACATTACTCCTAAAAGGAAGAATTTCTTTTGTTGCCTTCTTTAGCATTTGTACTTATGTGTTTGCGTTAATTTTATTTCACTCAAGTCCACCAGTTTATGGTTAAATATGTGTTCAGCAAAAATTCAGAATCCAGATTCATTAGCACAATCCATCTTGTGATATCATATTCACCTACTCAGAACATGTCATTCTGAGATGCGATGTAGAGTTGTATTGGCTTTCTTGTATGTATTTGCAAGTAGCAACACTTGGTGGTTGTTACTATTCAGCCATTACACCAGAGAGCCAGCCTGTGTATAACTAAACCAGAGCTGCTTCTAGTTTGATGCAAAACAGTTTAAATTGTCAAAGTAGCAAAAGAGATGGAGAATTGAGAGAGAAAAGTATATAGAGAGAACACAAATGCTAGAATAAGAATACTGAATTTTTTTTTTCTTTTTCTTCTTCAGCAGCTAGAAATGCTTTAGAAATGGGAGCTTTTCCAGTCATTATCATCTGGATAAAAGAGGCCTGTGAGCATACTTAGTTTTACAATGGAGCCTTTTAGCGGTTTTAAAAAATTCCAAAAACTGTGTTTTAAGGTCTTACAGAATGCAATATGTTTACCCTTAGGCAGAACTGAAATGGAGAAACCTATTTTTTCAAGTGCTTTTGTATCTTGTTAAACAACAACTTGAAAAAAAAGAAAAAAAAAAAAAACAACTTCCTTCAGCTGCTGACAAGGGAGATATTTACTTGAGGGACTGAAGGTAGGTCAGATTTCTTCAGAGCTAAAGAACTTGCACTGCAAAACTCTTGCTCTTCCCAAAGAGTTTATCTGTGCAGTTCGACATCCCTTCCTAAGCCCTGTTTCATGCTCACTGCACAGGTGAAACTAGTGTGTACACAGAATGAATTTTGTGAAGTCCAGTCCCTGTAGGGGTCACAATGTTCAGTCAGCATTGAGATGTCTGAATACTGGTTTTATGAAGTGACACGCGAGAGCGTTCTGTTGAATTCCCCTTACACTGAAAGGATGTTGGAGCTGAAAAATTGCCATGGTAGCACATGAGGGAGTTAAGGGATTTATTAAAAAGAAATCCCAACAATCCAAACAATACTCTCAGTTATTAAACAGGAACTTCCAATGGCACCAATACAATGGTTTATTTCCTGTTTCCTCTTAGAGCAATGTTACTGTTCCAAAATATGAGCCACAGCAAGACTTCTGTGAGTTTTTGTCTGTCATATGATATTTGGATTTATATTTATCCTTTTGATGGAATAATTTTAGTGGATATATTTATTTAACTATATTGTGCTTGCAAGAGAGTCTCCTGGTACATTAGACTTGTAAATGCCATCAGGTAAAGTAACTACATGTAATAAATATTTTTAAAGAATAATGGCATCAAAATGCAAATAGATAACAGGAAACCAGCTGTAAACTCTACTACACAGCTTTCTTTCAGTCTCCTGCAAACTTTCCATTTAAATAACTACTTTTAGGGAAAGAAGAGAGCACAGGAATAAAAATTCATAAAAGTTAACTTTATCCTGCTTTTGATAGTTTCAATAGTCTTGCAGTTTTGGAGCCAAGTGATTCACACCAGCTGTACCCATACTGAGAAGGGTACAAGTTTAATTGAAGTCAATCTGTCTGGGTCTGACTTTTAAAGAACCAGATACTGCTTCAGAGTAGACTATTTTAGAAAATTGTGCTTAAGAATCATGATTAATGCTGTTGCAGCCTGTGTTCTACCTTATGTTTTGACTTTTAAGCCCAAGCAATTTAATATTGCTATTAGAACATTAGCCTTGTTTGAACTCAAGAATTATTGAAATTAATGAGTTCATTTTAATGACATGAAAACTTAGATGTTTTGAAAACCTGACATATTTTTATCAGGATGTATTAAGTTCTTCAGTTCTTTTATGTGTGTACCTCTGACTTTTATCATATTAAAATATGACAGCAGTGTTTTCTTGGAATATGTCTGCAAAAGTGGTAATAGAAGAATAAACAATCTAGATTGCAGTTTGGCAAAGGTAACATAGGTTACCTTTAATATTAAAACTTAGAAATGTAGGCCATGCTAGCAGAATGTGATGGATTTTCCTCAGTATTTCAGGGATTTGTTGGAGAGCACTGAGCTCAGGACACTATGTCCTGAATATCCAGCATTCTCAGCTGACCCAAAGCAGATGCTTTCAGAACAAATCTTTATCAGCCAGGATTTCTAGCATCCTTTGCTTGAAGGTAACCAGTCACGCCTGGCATTCTTCACTTCTTGCTTACAAATCAAAAGACCTTTGAAACCCAGTTTTAAAGATGGCTTAGCAACCAGATCTGCATCATGTAGTTTGGCAAATATTTGTCTGTCCTAGAAAAAAGAAACCCTAACTGACCATGGTGGGACAATTTCACATGGAGTCACTAAGTGTCAACCAGTTCTGTGCAGCCAGTAGTATAAAATCAGTAAGAGAATATGGGTGAGTCCAGTATTTGGGTTTGCAAACTTCAAACATGAAGTGCAAAGCTTCACTGCTACACAGGCATGAGATTTTTGTGGGTCTTCCAATGTTTCCTAGTAGAAGGTTGATCAGATGTTGTGTCCCTGGATCTGCTTTTTGAGTGTGTTTTCTCTTAACTTTGAGAGCATTTCTAGAATGCATATCATATATGCCTTTTTTTCTGGACAACTTACTGATTTAAACCTTTAATTAGTAGAGCTAGAATTTTCATGTTACTCCTATTAGCAATGAATCAATGTTTCATGTACTTCTAATTCTTAATTTTCATAAAAATACTAGCTTTTAGCAGAGAGAATCAAGAGACGGGGAGGGAAAAAAAAAACAAAACAACTCTAGGAATATAATCTTGCATAGGAACAAAAAGCAGTTTTTACCTTTACCCAGGAATTTGAAGTTTGGAACGGGGAAGTCAGCTTACCAACTACACCTTGTATGGGGGTTTCTTTTCTGGGTGTTCTGTGGGGATGGTGGTGTGTTTTGGGGTATTTTTCCCCCTATTGCTTATCATGAAGATGTACAGGATTTGAAAGTGCTTTGAGAATTTCTTTGCTCTGTGCCTTTGAGGCAGTCCTTTGACCTTGTATGAATAACAATAACTTAGAAGCAGCTATTAAAAAAAGCCTTACAAAAAAATTAAAGGGGAACGTTGTAAAGTGCAGAGTAAATATAACTCCAGTTTTGCACAAGTGATATTTTAAGGAATAAAAATCAAAGTGCTTCATTGTTGAAGGATATAGGTATTTTTGAAACCTGTTCAGTTTAAGTGGTCCATTTAATCTCCATGAGCTTATTGCCAGGCAGTCATATCAGAACACTGCTGAAAAGTGAAATGTTAGGGTCCAGGGGTTTGATACGCTTCAAATAATTGCTTGTCAAGAACTAAATTCACTGTTTTCTCACAGTATTTAGAAAAATAGCTTCATTTACCACAGTAAAGTTTCAGTATTTGCATTAAATAAGCTGAATATGGCTACTGCCATATTATGAGGGTTCCTCTGTAATAATGTGAACCATATATGTATGTATATATTTATTTGTTTGTTTATTTACTCTTTTCACAGACACTTCCTTTGGGGCTGGGAGATGGACAGCTCTTTACCTGGACTGATGGCCTGAAAAGGAAGGACTGGCATGATTATGAAAGCATTCAAAAAGATGCTATGCGTTCAGGTATACATGAGTTCAGAAGAAATTAAAGTGGTTTGTTTACTCATTCTTTCTTTCTATGACTATTTGTTCTTTTGAGTCCTTTAAGAGGCATTCCTAGCAACTTCTTTTTGATTGCAGCAGTATCACAAGGACATTATGTTCTGAATTAAGAGGTCAGACCAAGCACAAATATCTTATCTCTGAAAACAGCCAAGTGACAATGTGTTTCCTGCTAGTAACTGTTTAATGATTATAAAATCTGAAAAAATGTTATCAACAAATTATTTTTCATGTTGAAGTCAGTTGTCAGACTGTGACCAGACAGAGTGTTGGTTTACAAAAGGACTGTGGATATGTTACAAAAAAATCCAAATGGTCCTTAAATCAATGAACAAAACCTGTGTTCAATACCAATAGCTGCCAAGAACCTTTGACACTTTTACCACTGTCAAACTCCAATCCTTTAGTCTGCTAAAGCAACTTCATCTCATTCTGACAGTCTACAATTATTTGAAAATGAGAGAAAATTGTGGTTGCAAATAGACTGAAGGACACTGTTACAGTGAGTAATGTAATTTTAATGTACCCTCATGTGCTGCATCCCATACGTGCAGAGAGTATGGTTTGTGTTCCTCTTCTGTCATCAGAGCATGTTCAGATTTGAATTCTTCTTTTACAACATAATATACAACTATTCAACAAAAGATGAATTAAATTAGAAAGAAGGAAGAGAAGCGGCAGTTGAATTACACCTTAATCAGTGTTTGAAAGTCATTATTTTACAAAGGCCAATCTACTATTGTAAAACAAATTATGCTGTCTTGATCCCACTGTCTTGAGACAGCCAAAACCTCCCTCAAAATATCTCTATAACTGTATCTCGTTGACAGATTCATAAGACTTGGTACGTACTTAATTTTGCAGGAGCCTGAACTAGTAAAATATTGAAAGTGTATGTTAATTTTGTAAGCTATTTTTCCCTCTTTTGAATCTTGATCACTAACTAAAGAAATTATCCTTTCCTCCCACATGTGCTTAGAAGGTAAAAAAGGGAGGGAGGGGAAGAAAATTGTTCTAGGCAATTTGGTAGCTGTCAGATCAACAATTGCTGTGTTCCAAATTGCAAAATGTAAAATGACAAATATGTAAGAGAGAATGTATACAAAGCAGCATGTATGTGGAAGCTTGCATATATGTGGGGAATATCATGTTTGCTGGTTGGAATGGACATGCATGGGTGCTTTGCCAATGTACTTTTAATTTCTAAATATGTAATGTGGACCCCATATGTTTTGGACAATAACAGTAATACTTATGATTGTCTGATGGATAGCTTAAAGCATTGCCAATGTGTAGTGCAAACCATTGGATGGAATTGGCTGAGAAGCTGAAAAATCATGTTAAGTAGCTTTGTAATTCCCAGTCCTAAACCCAACATGATAACTGTATTAGCATTTGAATATTAAGATATTCTTATTTACATTTTTTATGAAAACTTTTTTTTTTTTTCATTTTACTATTTGCTAAGTTTGACATTTTAGAAATATATTTTAAATAATTTATATTTGTCATCATTATTCAATAGATTAAAATACCTTTTTATGCTCTTTTCTTTGAAAGTCACAATATGGTAATACAAATGCAAAGCTTTATCAGCAGTGCACTCTTTTGGGACATACTATATAATTTCTCTTCCTAATAACATTAGCTGAAGTACACTATTAGTTAAAAATCCATCTGAAAGCACGACGTGAAAGGGCTTCTTGGGATATTTCAGGAAAGGCAGTTGATGTTTGTTGTACAGAAAAGAAGTATATTTTTAATTCAGTCTGGCTGTTTATGGCTTACAATTTCCTAAGCACTGAGAATATGAATTTCATAATTTAGGAGAGGTACTAGTTTCTTCATGACTACTACTGTTTCATGGACAAATATTTTGATCTCTTTTCATTCCACCAATTAAAACCTATGTTTCTGAATTTGAATGGTATCTCCTCTTGAAGTCAAAAGTAAAGCCTTTTGTAAGACATGCAGAAAAAAAGGTATTATTTTTATTTATTTTAAGTTCTTTAGCTCATCATTTTTTGTCTCTAAAATTACAAATGATCTTGCATATAAATCCTGAAATGAGCTTGTGTTGCTTTTGATTTTGCAGGGCTTTGTTAAAACACCTGAGGTTTAAATGTCTGTTTATGATGCTTCTATTGTTACTTCACATGGTGTTAGCATGGTGATACTATTTGAGAAGGTACTTGAAGTGAAGGATGGAGAAGCAAAGCTTTACACATAACCAGAACTTAACTTAAAAGCACTTGTCAAGACTTCCAAACCAGTTCTAACAATATTAGTTGGTTAATCTTGATAGAATTCAAGAAGACAAGGAAATGCTGTTGTGTTGCAGAAGTACTAATTGTTATACTGTTGGGGAACAGGGAAGTTACACATTTAGTTGCCAGTTATCCAAGCTCTTATTTACACAGTGTCAAAAAGGAATATATAATGACTTAAATATACTTCTTACAATCTTATCAATACAGAATAGATGTAATGAAATGAAAATTAAGTTCATTTTGTCAACCCAATCACTTCCATTCTTTGCTGAATATTACTGTTATCATTAGCTCAAAAGCAGTGACTGAAATATAGGTAAAGGAAAGAAAAAGCTAACCTTTAAAAAAATAAAAGGTAATTCCTAACTAAAAATTTGTGATAAATACTTTGGAAAGAAAGAAGGGGAAAAAAAAAAAAGTTTAATTGCTTCCATTTTCTAAAGTGACCCATTAAGTGAATCAGATATTACAATGAAGTGGGAGGGAACAAAATAAGCTAATCGGAGAAACTGACTTTATTGGAGTTGATAAGTTACGCCAACTTTTTGACAAGAAAACAGAATTTGAAATAAGACCTGTTTCTATTGATTTCTTTTCCTTTGGGAATACAACTGATGACATGCTTTGATGAATAATATACTTAATTTGCATTAAAAATATGAGAACTGTAAACAAATGCAAATCCTATATCTGTCAGTTTTTGTTTTGGTAAGTAATAAACAATGTCTTCTGTATTTCATAGTGGTGGGTGTACCCTACATGAACACAACCTGTGTAGCAATGACCCAGGTAGCTCCTGGTGTGTGGATTAGTCCAGCTACAACAATGCCTGTTGTGTCAGGGCACTGTAAATCCACCTGTATCTCTACAGAGAGTAGAAATCCTGGATGCTGAGACGTCTGGCTTTGCCATGAATCAGTTACTGTAGTTGCCATTTCTTTGTTTTATCAGAGACTTCCCTACATCATATATAGGGAAGTCTCCCTCCTCTGTATAGGGAGGACTCCGAAGACATTTCTACCAAGACGTTCATTTCAGGGGCATGGCAGCTTCTGTGGCTCTGATAGCACTGGTTTTCCATGGTTTCTGTGCAGAACTAGGAGTCTGAGATCCCTCAATGCCCCCATGAGGGATGAGACTCACAGGAGAGAGCCATGAAAGCCTAGGGTAGTAATTCAGAAGCATCCATGAGAAGACATCATGTCGATTTCACCTCTAACTTTATGTCCTGGGTAGTGAGATTAAAAGTCCTCAAGAATCAGTCAATGTCATTGTTCCACCATTTCTGAAAGTTGTTTTATCTATTTCACTCGAGAAATTCTCAGCTTTAGCATCAATTACAAGTAGTAGCAGTAATGATGAATTACAAGCCTTCTCAGGCAAGAGGAAGGATTCATGTGTGTGATTCTTGGGCTTTTAAAGAAGTGCAGATTGAATGTTTATATTCAGATATGGTGCTGTTTCTGATCATGACAACCTATTTCTAACTACAAGCAATAACTTTTAAAATGTAAATTACTACAAAAGGGTACCAGATTGAATAGAAAAAGGGAAAAAAAAGTAAGGTTTTATTTTTGAAAGCATGTAATCAATTCTATCAGTGATATTAATAACTGATAAGATACATGTAGAAGGAATATATACTGCAAGGCGTCTTTGGTTTCAATTTTTATTCTTTAAATACAGTCTTTTATTTTTTTCTTTATAATGCTTTGGAGGTATTTTTGCCTGATTGCATGTGTATGCTGAAATGATTGCATTCTATGAGGTGGATTGAAAATTTAGTGTAACAAACTAACTTCTGAAAGAATGGTAAAATATAAGAAGCTGTGTTAATATAAATTTAGAAAACCGTTTGTCTTCAAAAGAAATTGGCTAAGGAATAGAATAAGTGACTTCAGAGATATGGCTGTCAATACTTTCATGTTTGACTGTTGAGCCATTTTGATCTTGTCTGCTAATAAGATCTCAAAGGAAAAACCTTTTAGAATGAACTGTAACATTCTTTAGAATGTAACACCTAGTATCTATTCCAGCAGTTACTGAGCCATTTGCAATCTTTATTCCTCCTATTTGTATATTTAAATAGCATGTGGAAGCCTTTTGAGGAGGGAAGGATTTAAGGTTGTAATTCTTTCCTGTATTCAGTATTGTCTTTACCTTTCTGCTTCTTTAAAATGTTACCTTGACTGGGAGAAAGGGATTTTAAAGATCTTGACCTTTACATGCCTCAGTGAAGGCATTTCACAGAGATTAGTTCTATAAACAAACAGACAGTGTGTTCTATAGTTCTACAAACAAACATTTATACAGATTAGTTTTATAAACAAGCTAAGCAGAGATATTGAAAAATAAGTGACCTGTACATGTTTGTGATGACAGTGGAAATAGATTGGAGCTCTGTATTCTTGGGGTAGAATGTCAAAAAGAGGCAAAAGACAGGAGCACTTGAGTACAGCAATAACAAATAGCCAACACTGGAAATTTTACTTCAGTGTCACTTAAAGAAATTGTGTACTGGTGATCCTTTTCTATCACTTCTTCTAAAATATTTGGTTAATTCTTGTAATAATTTTGAATAGTGGCCATTCTTAAATTCAGAAGAACTGATCAAGCCTAGTGCCAGTATGTTTCTAGAAAATATGAGACAGCATGATACAGAAAGCAAAAGTAATTGTAATTCCCAATTGT